CCTGAGATCATGACCTGAGCTGGCGGCAGAGGCTTAAACCACTGAGCCACCCAGGCAGCCCTAGATTGTCCTTTTAATTTTAAATTATACTTTCTTCATTTTTTAAATTTATTCTCATATTTTGATCTGACATTGTAGAAAGTCTAGAACTGAATCACCACCAGAGAGGCAGTATGTCACAGTGGTTGACAAGGGAGATTCTAATCCCAAATTGCTAGGTTCTGATATTTGCTCTGTCATTTATTACCTGTGTGATTTAGAGCAAGTGACTTACACTTTCTTTGCTGGAATTTATTCATTTGTGAAATAGAAATGACGATAGCTAAGCACTGTTATTAGTAGAATACTATAATTACAGTGAGGAATAAATAAAAGCAAAACACTAACAGTGCCTTTAGCAAAGGCTAGCTACTAATCTAAGCATTTTGTATATATCATCTCATTAATTCTTCATAAAAAGCCCGCAAATTATGTATTATTACCCCGTTTGCAGATGAAGCAGTCATGCTTCAGAGATGTTGAGTGACTTGCCAAGTGAAGCAGAAAGTTTTTGGCAGACTCTCTACTTGAACTCAAACAGGGGGTGCACTGTCTGTCTTGCAACCAGTTTATTTTTTGATTCTTTCATGGGTGGTTTTATTTTAAGCTACTGAGAAGATGAGCTCATACATGTAAAGTGTTTAGAACAAAGTCTGGCATGAATAAGTGCCAGTAGGCACTAGCTGCTCCTGTGACTGCTATTTCTACAACTTAATAGGTGTGAAAGAAAGAAGAAGTGCCTCTTATATACACCTAAATGCATACAAAAACAGTTTCTTCTCATCAGTATAACTTACACTTTATGAGAAAAGTCTCCATGACAGCAGTTTACTACTAGTAACGTTCTCTGAGCTTTTTGTTGTTGTTATTTTTCTGTTTATGTGGTGAATTGTCTAGCTTTATCGGGTAGGTTATGAACTCCATAAGAAAGGAAAGTTTGTCCCCCTTGTTTCTGTTTTTAACCCAGTAACTAGCAAAGAGGTGGACACATTGTAGGTAATCAGTAAATATGTAAGATAAACAAAGACAGTAAAAATGAGAAGAAAGGAATCTTTTTTTTTTAACCTTATTCACTTGCACCACCTCTGAAAAAAACATTGAAATAAGAAGGACATATTGCATAATTTTTCTAAAACCATTAGTAAGGTTTCAAGCAGGCCCTTGGCATTAAAAAATGTGTGCATGAAAGAATCATAAACGGGCTTTCAGGCCCACTTAATGGTATCATTGAGTCTCCCACCTGCTTTGTCTGAAGAGTAGCTAAGAAGGCAGATAGGTTTCCTAGAGTTACAGCCAAGATGCAAGGCAACTCCAGAAACTGTGATTTATCTGCCAGAAGATTTCCTGGTTCTTGACAACAGATACTTGAATCAAAAGATGAAAGGTTTTTTTTTTTTTCTCCAAAAAGAAAAGATACTTATATTACTATATTGTGCAGAATAATATGCCACCCACTTACTGACTCTCACACAAAATTTTTATGTCTTATTTCTCCTCCATGAGATAAGACTAGCAAATAAGTTTCTCCCCTTGATTTTCTCAGCAAGAATAAGCTTTGAGAGTACTGCTATGTTTCTTTTAATATCTAATATTAGACACTAGCCTTCGAAGTCTTGGAATATAGGAATATAAGACAAAGGACTGTAAGGAAGGAATGTAGAGCAGAGAGTGGAAAGCGTTGATTTCCTAGTGGAAATTATTTTTTTACACATAAACCTTTGGAGAGATGAACACAAGAAAGGAGAGATAAGTGTTCTTAAATGTCAATCTTTTTTTGGAAAGAGGTAAGTTCTTGGTACTAATTTTTACCCTAAAAAAAAGTGTTCAGATTTACAGATTGCTGAGGATTCTATCTTCTTTGGATGTTGCTATCATTTTTATCATGTATGTGTTTATCACATATGTATATTTGAATTAGTACTGAGTGGGTGTTAAGTAAAATGTCCTTTGTAAGCCATGGTTCTAAGCCCCAGAGATGTCACTGTCCTGATACATAATTCAGAAACCAAAGTAAAGCTGATGCACTTACCTTTTGTTTAACAAAAATAGTTACTTGTTTTCTTTGTTTAATCTTATGCACCCAAAGTGGGGCTCAGACTCATGGCCCCCAGAGCAAGAGTTTCATGCTCTTCCAACTGAGCCAGGCAGGCACCCCAATAATTACTTGTTTTGATTCAGCTCACCTGTCTATTTTTTTAACAAGTCAATATAACACAATAATATATTAATGTCCATGTGAATGCAGCATAGAGAATTGTTCATTACCCCTGAAAGCTATATGCTTCGAGTTTTAGTAAAAAAAAGGCTATTTTTATCATGGTGAAGTCTTAATCTAGATATAAATATTTAATTCTGAGGGGAAATTTAGTGGACTCATGGGAAGAAAAGGGATGAATGCCAAGGGGAGAACCTCATTTCTGTGGTTACAGTAAGGGAAAAGTGGATTGAAGTGCCATAAACAAAGACATATAATGATTAGATTTTCACTTCTAACTCAAGTCTATCTCTACTAAATCAGATGAATTTCATATTGCCTTTTATAATGGACTATTCTCTCATCTTAAAATATTTAGTAAGGCTACAATTATTTTAATATGCTCACATAGTTCTGAAATTACACAATATTAATGGTTATGCTTTTTTATGCTATAGTTCCCAGAAATTTAGGTTTGCAAAGCAAATAAAAGCAAATATTATCATCAACTTTTAAAAAATCTAAGCATTAGTTGTATATGTTATTTCATAAAAATATTAAAACAATCTGAATTAAAATTCAACCAGTGTATTTTTACGGTGTTTGGAACTGCAAGTTACTTTAGAGGCTTTAGCTGTTTCTTACATTCATATTAATTTTATTGGATTCACAACCCCCTTTTTAAATGCATGAGTTACATGTAATTAATTCTACAATCCTAGAATAGAACCTTTGTCTGCTTTTAAGAACCCTCTTCTTTGTGCAGTATCTTCACGGGATCTTATTGCCTGCAGCCCTTAGTCCATGACCTATACTGTAAACAGAATTGTAGCACATTGCCTAAAAGGAAAGATAGAATAAATTTAAAATACATTAGATATTTGCAAAGATGGATTACTGCAGCATAGAAATAACTATGGAAAGAGGACTAGATATATTTTTTGAAATTGTATAGATAACACTTCCGATTTGTGACACAAAAAAATGAGTTGTGGTAAGAAAGAGAATGAAATTAACTATAGTGGCTTTTGTACAACCAAGTCTCACTTTACAGAATGAAAGTATTCTTCAAAATATGGAAAACTGGGGTGCCTGGGTGGCTCAGTGGGTTAAAGTCTCTGCCTTCGGCTTAGGTCATGATCCCAGGGTCCTGGGATGGAGCTCTGCGTTGGGCTATCTGCTCGATAGGGAGCCTGCTTCCCCCTCTCTCTCTGCCTGCCTCTCTGCCTGCTTGTGACCTCTGTCTCTCAAATAAATAAATAAAATCTTTTTTAAAAATGTGGAAAATTAATTTAAAAAAACACATCTGAGTTTACACATAGTAGCAAAACCCACTTTGAAAAGAAAGCATGTGTGCACAGTGTGAGTGTATGTGTGTATGTGTGTGTGTGTGTGCTTCTTTACCCAGTGCTTTGTATCTAGGCAGATGTGGTACAAATCAGCTTTAAGAAAAAGCTTATAAAACCCTTCTTATGTATCTCCAAATAACAAATCTCAAATCCTAATCTTGAAAGAGTTTTTTTTATAGCTTATATGTAAAAGCACTTGTGTATTTACATTGACATAGAAGTGACATATCACCTAGATCGTGAGGATGGTATTGGGAGAGATTTTCATAGAATTTTTTTACCTGTATTAAAAGCTCCATGAGGGCAGGCATTGTTCCGTTTCAATCACTGAAATGTCCCAAACCTCTGGAACGTTACAGCATGCACAGCGAGCTCTCAATAAATACTTGATGAGTGAATGGATGGACAGTTTGTAAATGATCACCCTGCTTATATTTTAGATCATGAAAATGAAAATGTAGGCAGTATAAGTTACTTGTCAGATCCGTGGTGGCAGAAGCCCACTATGCAGCTTCCTAAGGCAGTAGGTAATATCCTTCAATAAATTATCTCACTGTTAAGTGCTAAATTAGTGATAAAAATAAACATCTAACCAAGGTTAGATATCCTAAATGAAAATTTCCAGGCAAACATATTCTTATATTTTATATACCTCCCTACATAAACCATTCTGAAATTTAAAGGGTATTCCCATGTGAGGTAAACAAACAAGCAAATGTCATTTATAAGAAAATTTATTTACCTACTCAAAAAAAAACCTAATAAATTCTTTTTGTTTTTTAAGCAATATGCTAAGCAGTGAGGATATAATTGTATACACATGACTGTCATGGTTCCTGTCACATGGACATTTCCTTTTGTGACAGAAACAAATGAAACCAAGTAAACACATACATATGCAAAATAAATTTGCCTTGCGATGAGTACTTTGAACAAAATAAATGGAGACTGGGAGTTTGGAGATTGAATGAATTTGTAGGGGAGGCAATTTTGATGAGATAACACTTCCGCTGGGATCGGAAAGTTGCAAACTCAACTTAAAAAGGAACTTCCTCATTTGGGTAGGGTTTAAAACATCTCCATAGGTAGACATATACTCCACTGGAAGATGGAGAAGGGAGGAAGTGTTTACACCTTGGACGTACAGCAATTGGTAGAGTTGGAAATTATTCTGTCAAATAGTTAATGTCCATTTGCCAAAGTGGAAACATTCCTATCCTGTGAAGTAGATATGATGAAACACTTGTATTTTTTTCATATTATCCGGTCAATATTTGGGATGTTAAAATAAATGCTTAATATAAAACAAAGGAATAGAATTTTGGTCATACCCAAACGAATGTAGTATAGTTTTAGAGATTAAGTTTGACTCTATTTCTATTTTTATTTGATTTCTTTGTTTTATACATCTTTCCCAGGATAGTCCACTGGTCTTGCAATCTGACAGGAATGTAACAGTGAATGCAAGAAATCACATGGGGCAGTTAACTGGACAGCTGACAGTAGGTGAGTGCATTGGGGGTAAAGATTGCTTTTACCATCTTTCTCCATTTGAAGATTTGTGATTGTTTAAATTGGGGAAAGTGAAAGTTTGTTATTTCTCTAATATAAAATTAGACATCTTTTTTCAGCCTATCTATCTTGCATAAGATTTGATTTTTCACAAACTAATTATAGTTTCCTCTATTTGGCAGTTCTTACTCTTGTCAATGTGTCACTATGAGACAATTACATATATGTTATTGTAATTACTCTTTTTTTTTAACTTTTTAAATTTATTTTCAGCATAACAGTATTCATTATTTTTGTACCACACCCAGTGCTCCATGCAATCCATGCCCTCTCTAATACCCACCACCTGGTTCCCCCAACCTCCCACCATCCCACCTCTTCAAACCCTTCAGATTGTTTTTCAGAGTCCATAGTCTCTCATTGTTCACCTCCCCTTCCAATTTCCCCCAACTCCCTTCTCCTAACTCCCCATGTCCTCCATGCTATTTGTTATGCTCCACAAATAAATGAAACCATATGATAATTGACTCTCTCTGCTTGACTTATTTCACTCAGCATAATCTCTTCCAGTCCCGTCCATGTTGCTACAAAAGTTGGGTAGTCATCCTTTCTGATGGAGGCATAATACTCCATAGTGTATATGGACCACATCTAATTACTCTTGAATTATGAAATGTACCATTTTTCTAACAAATATCTTCCTGGTGTATATGAAACACATGAGATATAATAGCATATGGTCTCCATGTCCTTTGTTTTAGGTAAATAATGTCCTAACAGATATTATCTGCTAATGTAAATTAGAAATGGCATATTAGTTGAATATAGTAAATCTTAACATTTATCAGTTACTTCTAAATCTGGTGTTGAGATTATTTATATTTTAAGATTTATAGGCTTTAGAAGTTATAAACATAACCCAATGATAAAATATTATTGTTTTCTCATATCGTCAAAAAATTAGTGATTCGTATTACATGGCATTATTATATGACTCAATTTTTATAAGAAAACAGGCAAATAAGTCAGTCATAATTATGTAAAATAATAAAAAGATTTGATTTGTATGTAACTGTCAAAATATCTTTAGAATGCTGTACTTTTTTGTGGAGAAATTACCCAATATTGATAATATATGTGTGTAAATAAAAGTATATTATAAGTAGCAAATTACATTTTCAAGGAATGAGTTGTGCTTATCTTAACAAAAATGTAATGAGCACCTTAACACAAATGTATATTTCTAGTAGTTCTTTTTAAGTTACACAAGACTATGGCATTTGAAAAGTGGGATTTATAAACATTAATTTGATTGTGTCTACTTCCTTTGTAGGTATATGAAATACTTTTCAATATGTTATTTGCTTTAATGAAGCAAAAAATGCAATTTATATTTTAACATATGTGTACTTCCAAAAATATATTTGCACTTTATAATAATTCAGTTTTATTTTATGTAATGTTCACATCATAGAAGTTGGTCACTAGTCATCATCAGTTGAACACTGGGGGATAAAAATCAAAGGAGGATAAACTGGAAAGTTGAACAGGAAGTTATATTAATGGATAGGGCTAGTTTTGTTTTATATATTTTTTTCGGTAGTCTCCCTCAGTCACAAGTGATCATGTTTGGGAAACCCAAAATAGCTGCTGGGTGGTCCTGTAGTGTAAGCACGATAAGAAGGTCTATAATTCCATATCTGTAACATTATCTCAGTAAAACATTAATAGCAATTGGATATTAAATAATTGGGATGTCATTGTTCTAAATATTTTAAAATCTTAGAATCACCATCGTATGCTTCATCTAAGATCTCCTATATCATCATAATTCTCCTTGTTTAATGGCTCAGTAAATTTTGGAGAATAAATTCACTCCCAGGAACTGCGAATTTCTGTTGTCAAAATCATTGACTCATCTTGGATATATTCATTCCATTTATCAAGAATCAATGACATATCCAAATTATATAGAAACCTTAATTACAATCCGTAATTTCTCATTTTTCTGTCTTCATTACTTCTTCAAAGCTGAGAGTCATGGATGCCTTAAGTTTTACTATATGGTAATAAGACAGTGTCATTTGCAAGAAATTCAACAAAATGATATTATCACTTAGTACTGGTTTGCTTTTCATAATTTATATTCTGAGGATTAAACGCCACATAAAATAAAAACAATTAGAGACAGCTTCTGCAGCAGAGTTGACTTTTTTGGCTCCTTCTGAGGTCTGAGGGGCATGCCTTCATTGCCTAAGGGGATTTACAAAACAGCCAGTCGGGGAGTGGGAGTACTGAACGGCAGGTGTGCATCTTTACTGGTTCTCTGCCTTTTCTAGCGGCCATCAATAGACTGTATACACTCAAATTTGTTTTTTTTAATGATAAGAGAAGATATGCTCTACGAGAACAATTTGGCACTAAGATTTTTTAACGAGAATATTTTTCTTTGATTTGTTTTCTCAGGATTTTGAGTCAATATACACTAATAATAAAGTCCATATGATGAAACAACCATTTTTTAAAATACCACAAGTTTATAAAGAGATAAAAAATTAAAATGTACATATATATATATAATTACATAAAAAGTAATACATTCTTTATCCATATGAAAGCTATTTGCATCCTATATAATGATTAATTAAACCACACTGACCTTTCTGGTGGTGTAAAAAGAAATGTGACTAATGACATGATCCTACTATGGTTAAGGAGAAACATCTGAACATTTTATGGAAAACCAGAGTTTTCCTCTCACATACCCTGAACAAAATGGACATGTTGTTTAATAGAAAGAAAACTGGATGATATAGTGTACACTATTTTTAGCAACTCTCCATCCAAAGAAGCAGCAGCCTGCCAACACTATGGTCTGGTGCTTTTTTTTTTTTTTTTAAAGATTTTATTTATTTATTGGACAGAGAGATCACAAGTAGAGAGAGAGGCAGGCAGAGAGAGAGGAGGAAGCCGACTCCCCGCTGAGCAGAGAGCCCAATGCGGGGCTCCATCCCAGCACCCTGGGATCATGACCTGAGCCAAAGGCAGAGGCTTAACCCACTGAGCCACCCAGGTGCCCCTATGGTCTGGTGCTTTAAAGAAAGCTCAGAGCGTGACCACAATGTGCATGGATAAAGTAATTGTGAAGCAAGGAATAGAACATGTTTGCCAGTTCAGTTTAATTCAGGGATAAAAATTTAGGCTGATATGCCTATTAAGTATTGCTTCTGATGTATACTTTCACCTGGGCTTGTCATTAGTCAGATGAAGTGAGAACTCAAAATGTTAGTGTTTGTGGCTGGGTCTCCTCAGTTCAGAAGTGAAGAAAACTGATGATAAAATTGGTAACCTTTAGTAAAAACTGAAGATCCTAAGATTGTTAACTGTGTCAATGCCCCTCTGGCCACCTCCATATATTTCTAATATCCAAAACAGGCAGACAGGCGCGCGCACACACACACACAGAGCACATACATGGGCTACCCCATAGAATTGGTGTAAGGAAAGTACTCGGAAAAAAAGCTGGCATAACACTTAAATAAACATTTTGAGTCAGCGACTACACGCTGAAGGATTGATTGAGACATCAGCATTTTATTCAGTGCAATATGCTACAAGGTAATTAGAGTCTGAAGCTTTTCTAAAAATATTTGCTGTCACCTATCACGGTAAAATAAACCTTCAATAATGCAAGCAGTGAATAAAATCACATAATCTCTAAAGTGAATCACATAATTTAATCACATAATTTTAACAATAACTATGTTACTATTAAGAATTTATTTTACAATAGTGTTTATTAGATTGATTAAGCCATGAGAATTTTTTAATGTTCCACAAATTAATCTATATATCCAAAGATTTCACAATGCCTGTCACAAAACATTCTTGCTAGAAAGGCACTTTGAATTATGACTATTAAGAGATGTTATAGATAACCAAACAACATCTGAACAATACTGAACATAAGCTCAGTGAAAATTATTTTCAAACACCGGAATATGTGGATTTGACACTAACACTGATATTATGAGGATAATCATGTGATTTATGTATCAAAATGTTCTAGAAGAATATATACACCTAGAAATCATACTTTAGTAAGAAAGTAGTTTTAGAAAGGAATTATATTTTAATAGTTAAGAGCATGGATTCTGGAGCCAGCTAAATCCCAGACCTGGCACTTCCCAGTACTATGACCAGGTTGCTCAGACCATCCTCCATACTCCAGGCTTTCATGCAGATAACATGAATGTCCCTCTCATACAGTAGATGTGAGAATCAAGCAAGTGAACAGATGTGAAGGACTTGGAAAACTTCACATATATTGGAACACTTTAGTATATTCTAATTATTGTAATTTTCATTAGATCTGTATGTATCGAATTCTGTACAATTGGCCGAACTTCTTGGTTTTACTTTCTTATCTATGAAATGAGTATTATGCTAGATTATCTATGTAGTTGTTTCCTGAATGTAAACTCTATTTTACCTTTAGAGATGAAATTTGTTAATGAATCTTCTGGTCCATTAAATTCCCCACTATTCACTAGTCCTGTAAAATGACATCTGATTTGATTTTTTTACATCTTAGCCACAAATTCTAAGTACATATTTTTCACTTAAAATGAGGAATGTAAATTAGCACAACTAGATCATCATCATCGTTATTATTATTAAACCAAATTTTGGCTTATAAAAAGATATTTTAATGACCTGTAATCCACAAATTAATTCAAGTCCAATAAGTTTATTTTTGTCAAAACTAAACATCAGCATGTTTTGTCCCTAAATAAATGGAGAAAAATGTAGATGAGGGTTTTGTAATAAATATTTAATGACCCCTAAAGTGACATGTAATCTTGCATTAAAGCAATTACTGTGAACACCTGGGAATCACTTAATTGACTGCAGATGGTGTAGGACATATAAAAAGTAGAAGGTTACAGATTATTCTCACGTACCAAATTTATGTTTTTTGACATTGACTAATT